ATTGGTCTCACTATGCCATATGAGAAACACATGGAGGAGTCAAGACAGAGGCTTCATTACAGGTAAAAAGATACAGTGTTTTACATGGAACCACATGTTACAGATATCCACAATGTTTTAGTGAACTTTGCAAAGTTCCACTTTAATTAGATGGCACAACCATAGCAAAATGTGTCCATTTCTGATTCAATTCCCTGTGCTTTGTACTCCTCACTATTGCCTGAGTAGATATAGGACCTCTTTTATGTTTTCTTCATATGTATTTTTTGAATATTTTAAATGGTTTGGTAGGCTCATAAGCATCTTTAAAATGCCATCATGGCATATGTTTATAAAGTATTTGTTTTATATAAATAATGTTATCTCTAATTAAGGCCAAAACTGAGAGCAAATGAAACACAACTAAAAGGATTTACATATTTTAAAAATGGCAGAATGAAGAAACTGCAGGTTTCTTAGTTAATCATGTACAATCTTGTACATGTCCTTAGTCAATCATGTACATGTCCTTTTAAATACTTATTTATTGATTCTGGGCTCTTCTTTGTGACCCTTTTAAAATGATTTAACATTCAATTATTATTTAATAAATCTATAGCTATGTTTTTTTTCCCATCTCTTCATGAGATACACGGGATTTCTACCTCACATTCAGATGTGAAAAGCATTATTTTAAGAGAAGGAGATTTTGAAGTACCCAGTTTTAAGGTAAGATACATTGTTCAGAATGGACATCAATATCCAATGGGGTCTGACAAAAAGCAGACATAATTATCTCAAAGAGTATAACTTTTTAAAAATAGAATTTATATTCAATAAAGATAGTAATATATAAAATAGCAGCTTGGTTCTTTCCATAGAAATCCAAAACTGGTGAAAAGAAGCTCATTTATCTTTTCTTACCTAATAAGAAAACAGGCTCTTACCAAGTGTGATATCATTGTTTTTGCCTTTCATAACTACAAAAGAAAACAAAACAAATTACAATAGTTATATCGTTTCTGACTGTATTTACTGAAGATACATTTCTAATATTACTAGCTACTGGTACACTGTTTCTGACTGTATTTACTGAAGATACATTTCTAATATTACTAGCTACTGGTACACATTTCCATATGTCTAATGTGAGAAATTTGTGCTCACAGAGTCAGGGTAAAATAATAGGAGGTCACAATCTTATAAGCAACATTTTAATTGTTTTAATTTCAATTTGCATTTAATTTCAAGTTGTATAATTGCATGTTTTATTATTGTTTATAGCTCATTCAGAGACTGCTGTCACTACAATTTTTATTGTAAATAGCATCATCTTTCTTTCTTTTTTAAGAAGCATTGGAACTTAGATTTTTTTATAACAATAATTATTTTCTTACCTTAATGTGACCTCTATCTTCCACTCTGGTATATTTTTAATCTGTGTGGCACTAGTGATATTCAGATGCATTTTAGTTTTATTAAACACATGTTCATCTGCATTATTTGCTATATCATAGTTTAAGGAAGAAGTTCCTGTGGCCTACATGCACAGAAGGACATCAAATCACAATGAGGAACCCTTATATATCTCATCTTTAGCATATTTTATTTTATCCCCATGGTATTGTGTAGCATAGTGCTTTTCAACCTTTTTTGTTTTTCTTAAATCTGTAATATCCTTTTCTCTAAAGGAGAAATTTCATAGATTTTCATTACATAAAACCAATGTCATTGATCTCTATGTCCCCCAATTTGCTCAGATTTCCTCATATTCCCCTCAAATCTCTCATGATAAAGTGCACTGAACTTTTTACATACAAGTTAGCATATCTAAATTGTAAT